TACCTTTAAATTGTCAAACCTTTTCAACTTAGTTTAAACAAGCCTTGGCAATAAAATCTTGCATTCCTATCTCAAGCTGAAACAATCGAGTAGGCGACTTAAATATAACTCATTGCCTAAACTGGGTAAACTTTGAGCATCTTACTATCCTATTGGTTTAAGGCGGTTGTATCTGTGAGACGATAAAACTCCAAATGGTGTACCTAGACGGTTATTATTGATTTTGATTGAAGTAATTTACTCCCTTGATTAGTAAGCTCAATAACTAAACTAAAGTAGAAGTCGTTAGAATGATTCTTAGTGCTATGGAATAAGACTTGATGTACTAGATTCATTAACTCGGAAAATAGTTAACAGGAAGAGCGATACGAGTAGGACTGAAAAAGGTTATTTTTTAGAATCAAGGTATGAACCGCGTTATAAATAGGCTTATTTTTGAGTATTTCTTATTAGGCGTAATTTACTAAAAGATTGCTTCACTAAGAAAGAGATGCTATCTTTCCTTCATTATGGGGGCTCAATAGATAAGTAAGAATTGCTCTTAAAAATATGAAAAACTAGACTATAGCAGGGTAGAACAAAAAAAATAATAGTGCATTATTTCTGTCTTTGTAGGTCATTGAGTATAAAATTGTTCTATTGCGGTAGCATTCTTACAGTCGCTTCTAATAAGTTGAATAGATGGTGTTGTAATTAGTGCTTTCCCGCCATTTTGACTTGGCTGAAAATGCTAACTTCTCATATAAGTAAGAAAACAGATCAATTTGACACAATACCAACTAAATGCCACTCAGTTGATTCCGAATAAGGTATTTAACCATAAGAAAAACCAAACACATTTACTGGGTAGTGATACAAATTAGTCGAGTTAAATTGGCGGAAATAATTAGTGCTATGCTAATAATGTCCTATCAGGAAGGTATCACGACCTTAATGCTTGCTGTTGCATTATTAACATTACTGGGTGTAGACACAGTTTTTTTCTTTTTTTGGGCTACACTGGTAACTTTATTACGTCATAGATGCCTATTGTTGAAAGTTAGATGGTTAAGTGTCATGAAGATGGTTGCGTGCGTCCGCACAAAGTAAGCAATAGGATACAATGCTGCTACTGTACTTATATGATCGTATTGTACGCTTTTGTTACACTCAATTAGCTGAAATCGACGAAAGTTGGCTAATGTTGACTAAAATAAACTTAAATTAAAAAAAGTTAACTCAAATAAACTCCAATTAAATAAAGTCTACTACAATAAACTAATCCAATATACGTAATAACCAATTATTAATATTTCTTAATATAGACACTGTTTTAGTTCTAGAAGACCTATATTGGCATCCTTAAACTGCTGAAAACATCGTATAAGAGATATGAGCTTGCTAACTCTTTCTCGCTGCGCACTTTCTCTCGTGCGCTTAACTTTGTCTTCTTCATCGGCGCACGAGCTTGTGTCGCAGTTTATACTTAGCTGTGACTGCCACGCGTAAGTCCTTGGTAATTATAGTTGAATCACGTTGACAACTGCATAGGTTGGGTTATTAGCAATTAAGCTTTGCCAGACACTTGGATTTGACTTTGACTGTTGGGTCTAACCTTTTGATCCTTCGCTATGTATCGTACACTTTTTAATGGACGTAAAGAATACTGTGCCGTCTCGAGGTTCATTATCTTACAATTGGTCAAAAAAGATTGACACTATATATAAAATTCGTGTCCAACTCGAACGTGAGTCCTCGAGGGATCCCGTGGGTTTCGATCTAAGGGTCTTAACAGGTTGTCATCCTAAGGTGCAATGCAGTTCGAAAGTATATTTACCTTCGGACGGGTCATGTCACCCTCTATTTTTTCCTAAGGTGTCAAACAGGATCATTCAGCAAGCCCTCTGCTAATTTTAATCTTCATTCATCTTAAATCCAACATGGCTAGTATCCGATTTGATACTAGAACTCCTAATTTAACAATTCAAACCAATGGAACGTGACTACGATACCTCCCTGGTTGAAGTTCTGAGTTGTGAGCTGGACTGTACTTAGGAAAGTCGCAGGTTGCAATAGCTAACTAACTTACGCTATTTTTAGAGAACCGCGGATCGAAAGATCTACTTTTAAACCTGACAAAAAGTTAGAGTTGGATAAAGTCCTTCGGCAGGTTCTATCCTACCTCTCTCTTAGGGCGCATGTTTAGCGAATCAGCCTGTCTTCAGGAGCGTTTCCGGGAACATGTAGGTCGACTTAGGACTTTATAGCATCATTTAACAATAAAACACAAATAGATCTCATACAAACTATTTACTTATTGGACCGCTGCACGTGGAGTATTAGCATTGTCTTTCGAAGCGGTTTTAAATCTAATTTGCTTAGAAAGAGCTGTGGAAATCAACTTTGATGCTATTAAATATGTTGAAGGATACAGCTAAATTGTGTAGGACTCTGCTTTTGGTTGAAGCTAGTAGCAAAGACAAACGCTCTTAAAGTAAGATCTGCATGATGAGTAATGGCACTATACACTATTCCTTGTCCGAGGATGCATACTACTTAATCGAATTGGATTGCGTGTGCAGTATTACTCTTACTATCTGATCGGCATTCTCTTGCTGATTAATAGTACTAGTACTATATATACTCCCCCCCCCTCCCCCCAACCTTTAATCACAAGAAATAAACAGTTATGGTATTCTTAGGTATTGAAAAAGCTTTCGATAGAGTTTGGCATGAAGGACTTGATTATAAATGAATTATATACGAGTTCCCGGAATAGCTTCTTCGCGTACTATATTCATTTTTTTGCAATAGATCGTTAGTCGCACGAATGAGAGAAGACATTCGCACCCAGGGTTATTAAAGCTGGAGTTCCTCAGGGCTCTCTGTTATCACATTATTCTCCCTATATACTTGCGACATCCCCTCCCCTACCAACGAAGTTTCCCTAACTCTATACGCTGACGACACTGCCATATCTGGTAGTTCGAACTCAACTGCATTAGCTATTAATTCCATGCAGGTTTTTCTTTATACACTTGAAAAATGTTTGCAAAGTGAAAAATTACGATAAACCCTACCAAATGCCATGCGATGATTTTCCCAAGAAAAAGAAAAAGGGGAAAAGATAAAGCTCCAACCCTATCGCAAACATCCCTTCCTTGGAGCAATCAAGTAAAATACCTAGGGTTATTATTGACGCTAGACTTAACTGAAGCCTCATATTGATTATCTTGTTAAAAAAAGTAAGCATATATAACCTGATTTATATCCTCATGTTCAAAAGAAGTCAGTTGAACCTTGAAAATAAACTCGTTAAATGTAAAGTTATCATTAAACCTATTGTAGTTACGCATCTGTTCATGGGCTTACTGCTCGATTTCGCATAGATTTTAAATTCTTCAAAACGATCTCCTTAGAATGTTTACAGGAGCACCTTGGTTTGTGAGAAATTCCCAGTTACTTGAATGTGTAGTTGAACCGCTTTTGCTTTCCCTTGAAAAAACGACTATAAAATGTTTTACACGATATGAAGAACACAACAATGTAATAACTAACGCTTTGAACTATATTCCGCACATTGTTTAAAATTTAAAAGACCTAAACATTTTATTGGATCAATCTTAGAAAACTGAGTATTGAAACGTCTTTAAAACATTTATTACATTATAATCTAAATTTTTTTTTGGGGGGAGGGGAAGAGGAAATCTGTTAAAGGCTTAAATCGCAAAGACATAGCTGTCTTTAAGTTATGAGAGATGACCCGGAGAGATCTTGAGCTGTAAAGGGAGACTCCCCTCCTAACCCACTCCGTTAGGAGGGAATTTAGATTAGGCAGGTTGAAGATACGCAGATATAACGATTGTAGTATGCCAAAACGATAAATAAAAAAATAAAAATGGTTCTTGTCCACCCCCTAGCATATCTTAAATTCCTTTAACATCTCTTTAGATAATAAATGTCCTTTTGTAACAGTTATTGCAGCGTAGTGATATTTTCTATTGAAAGGGACTGTTTGATTTTTACTATCTCCATCTTAAGAAAACATCCTTCTGTCCAGCGCTCGTGGCAGTTGTTCCATTTAATCCGTTTTTCTTTGTTGTTCGCTGTTAAGCTACTTGAATACGGTCTTATTCCAGACTTATTGACCTATTCTTTATACCATGTTTCTAATGCAGCAATAATTTATCTATTATTTCCTATCTCACACGCGGTTTAACTATAACGTCTGTAAGGAATATAGATAGGGGAAAAGGGATATATATATATATATATATATATATTAAAGTAGTTTGTGTTAGCGCCAGAGGGTAATTTTTTAACGAACATTAATATAACTCGGTGGAAAGATTTTAAAGTTTGCAAGCAATAAATTAAATTTTTAAAAGAAGAAATTCGAAATTATACTAGCATTCGACTCTTATATAAATGTAATTACTACAATCCATTCAACGGGGGAGCTTGCGCGCGCACGCCAAAAATTTAAGAAAAAGTTGAAATTTAATTTTTTTTTTTTTTTTTTTTTTTGTGACACGCATTATGCATTCCTATTTAAAAGAAGGGGCGGGCAGTTTTAAGGATGGAGTAAGGTGAATGCGATTAAGTTTTAGAAGTTAAAGAAGTCAACGACTGCTTTTTAAGAGTTTCTCTTGAACGAAGCAAACAATACTCTAAAGATTGAAACGTTTATTTTTAGTAGAAAAGATAATATCTTTATTAATAAAATTTCTTTTTTAAAAATGTTTCAAAATTGTGAGTGCGCTGCACGACATTTTAGAAATGTGATAACTAAAGAGCAGCCCCGCTTAGTAAACTTTAATTTTAATATAAAAGCCGTACTAAATCGGCGTTACAGTCTTTTTTTAAATCAATAAATAATTTTAAGCTCCGACTAACACAGTAGTAAGTTTCTAAAAAAATTCTAAAATTTTTAAATAAAAAATCTTTATTATAATACAAAAATTGTAGACTTTTTATTTGGGTGAATACTTAGCAAACTCTCTAGCAAGCCATGTGGCCGTGGTTAGTAGAGCCAAAGATCCGCCTTGATGGGCAGTTGCAAGGGAAATAGGCACGTGCAGCAACAGAGTTGAAATTCCCAACGAGATCTTTTTATTTATTTTTATCAAAAAGTTTACAAATTAATATTTTTGTCCTTCAATTCATTTAAATTATAAAAAAATGCAAATTAGAAAATTTTTTAATTCTTTTTTAAAAGTAATTATAAAAATTCTAATTGTAAGAAAAAGGATTATATTTTTAGTATTCTTAGTAAAATGTAAATCTATTTTTAAATAATTAATATTAGTTGTACTATAGTTTTAAAATAAAAAGTTTTCGTATATAAAGAGTCCAACATCATATAGTCATGAAAAAGAACCTGAACTCCTCCAATAAAAAAAAGTAAACTGGCAAGAAATTTAGCACGTGGGGGTAGCCCAACCCTTCGAGTAGCCAGCCAAAGAAAAGAAAGATAAAAAAAAGTGGACAAGCCCTAAAAATAGTGAATAAATACATCTTGACGGTACTAAAAAAAAAGTTAAAAAAGTTAGAAAAAGTAACATTTAATACTTAAAAGGTTAAAATAAGAATAGTAATTATAATAATAATACGAGAATTCTGTGAGAAAACTGGACGGTCGTTGGGTTTTCAAAAAAGTTACGCCACGTGGGTTTAAAGGCGAGCAATTCGGCAGGGATCTGAAGCACAAACACAAATATAATAATAATAGCGACTAACTGTTTATATTTAATACTGTAAAAAAAAAAAAAGATTTACCATTTTTATTTCGTTTATATTTAACAATACAAAGAAATATGAAATCATTATTTTATTTTTAAAAATAGATAATTTTTTTAATGAACAAAAACAATAAGTAAGAATAAAAAAATAAGAAACCCATTGGTCAGCCATTTTAGGAAAAGTGTTATAAAGAAGTCCAGCGTCCAATCCAGCAACAAAAGCGCCTGCCATTAGTTAGTTTATTAATCATATTCTTAAATATTTAACAATTATATAATTTTTTTATATTTTTTCGTAGAGTTATAAAAGTATTTTATTAAGAAATACTAAAAATATTATGATCAGTATTATTATTATTATAATTTTAATTATTATTAGTATTATACTTTTCCACTTCTTATATTTACTTTAACTTTACTTGAATGTTAAATAATAAATATAATAATACCAGATAATGCAGTAATAAAAACGAGCCCCATGGCTAATTTACTGTAAAACTGAAACTTTGAAATAGTTTTGTTCGCCTGAAATAAAAAACTTTTTTATCCTTTTTATTATTTTCAAGTTTTTTAAAAAAATAATAACCAAATTCAAAGAGGGAAGAAGCAATTGGAGTCCCTTATGTAATAACAGTCCATATATAATGAAAGCAGATCCTTTCACAATCATCACAAGTAAAAATAATATAAAAAGTTATGAGGATGTTCAAGTAGCAAGAAAACAATAAAATAATAAAAATTAATATAATAAATACTTTAAACATTATAAACTAAAAAAAATCCCGTAAAGTAGGTCTACACCACATGTCACTATATTTGCTAACTCAATTGGTACACACTAAAAAAATGCCTAAAACCACGTGAGTAAAGGGTGCCGTGCTAGGTCTCACGTGGCAAGCCGCTTTATTATATTATTAAAATTTATTTGTCAAGAATAGCGTAAAGCGGACCCAGATGAGCTGCAAGTCGGTACTGACTAACGCGTGGCACGCAGTAAGGAAATCTATGAGGAAAAATAAATTATATACATTTTGTATTATTGTTAATACTTAAGAAAAATTATTAGAAAAAGCAAATCTATTAGTAAACTTTAGCTTTCCAACTGCAAAACGAAAGTAAATTATACTTTTAGAAAATTTAAATATTAGTTTGGAATTTTTAGAATTTTTAGGGGTTAAAATAATTTTTAAAATTTTATTCTAGTTATGTCCGGCAGGCCAATAAAAAAACCTTTTGTGCTTCAATAAAAGTAAAGGTAAATGTTATGCGCTTAACTCTCAATACAAAGTCTTAATCTTTTTTAATTTTAGAAATTATAAAAAATTCAAACGAGTTTATCACCGTTTTAGTAAAGATACTTCTTTATTGAATAAATAAATATAAAAATATAATTGAGGTTTAATTTAGTTTTCATTTAAATTTAGTAGTAACAAATTATATAAAAGGTAAACCGAAAAACTTTAGAACAAACTTTAATTCCTCAATTTAATTTACTATAAAAAGGAATTTGATAAAACGAACTCGGAAAGATTGGGATCCTGAAGTCCACTTTTCACCATGTACCAACCAAGAAAACCCTGAGGATATTTCTATAAAAAACATGATAAATATAAAAAGTATAACAAATCAACCTGAAATCCAATCAAAGAGGATATGCCCAAAGAAAATAATTTCAATTGAAAATTTAGATATCCTTTACAACAGTAGTAAACGGCTGGAACCACAAACGCAATTCCGATTGCTGATAAAATTTATAATAAAAATTGTTATAAGTAAAAAAGTATATAATAAATATAAATTAAGATTAAATAAGAATAAAATAAAGTACACTAATAAGAAATTAAAAGTATAATAGATAAACGCTAGCGAAAAAGAAAAAATAGTAAACATTAATTTAAAGAATTTAATAATAATTCAATACGCTACATAATAAACAAAATATAATCGTTATAGTAGAAATTAAAAAATACAAAAATTTATTTTTTTATTATTATAAAAAGTTTAATCAAAAAATAAAGTTGTTATAATAAACGAAAAAAAAATTTAACTAAAAACTTGACTAAAACTTTCTTAATACTTACCGACTTCATTAAAAATTAATTTCTAATTGTAAATTTCACTCGCAAAAACATTGTATAGAGTTATATTAAAGAGTAAAAAAAAAAATTCTTACTAAAAAAATCAAATTCAAAATGAAATAATGCAATAATAAAAACTACAAGCAAAAACCTCTTCCCCAAATTCGGTGGAGATACTCCCAAATAAAAATCTTTTTAAAATCGTTTAAAGTTAGATGCTGATGAACGCTGGAATAAATTCCTTTAAATTACAAATTTCTTATATATTATCAACACTTTTAATACTATTTATATTCCGGATACTTTTTGTACTCGTTAAATTCTTCTTCCCACTCTTTTTCGGAAAACGGGGGGCGGATACCATAAACGGGATGCCAGTTAACCATAGAAAGGCCTTACATTAGGAAATCCGGTTAATTTTTTTTTGCTATAAGAAAAAAAAAATTGAGAAAACCTGATTCTGTTAATCGAGTAATGCCTCCGATAGTTACTGCACCAGCAACCAAAGAAGCAGTGCACAACAGCCAAACGGCTAAAAAAAAAAATAAAATCAAAGATTTACGAAAAAAAATCTCGTATATAATTTCAATTTGAAAAAAAAAACAAAATTTTAAGTAAAACTAAGTTGAGTGCACTGAATTGGAAGGTACTTAAATTTTAATAAAATTCTGAACCTAAAGCATTGTTGTTACAAAAATTAAATTATCAAAGCCTGCAAATCAAAATTAAAATGCACTATTTACTTATAAAAAGTAAAATTAATAAAATTTCTTTAAAAAAAAAATTACTTGTAAAAAGTTCCACAAACCTTTAAAAAAAAGGCTTAAAATTTAAGTAAATTTACTTACTCCAATGGGTCTTAAAACAGCTCACTTCGAAAAAATGTGCTGACAAAATTATATATATGTATGTAATAATAATTTAAAAGAACTTTTAGAAGTTTTTTTACTTGAATTTATAATAACTTGTCGCAAATAAATATATTTTTAATATTCAGTATTTAAAAGATATTCAAAAGAGCATGATAAATAACAAAATCTGTTATGAAGAGAAAAATAATTAAGTAAACGTAGTTATGCTAAGGGCATATAAATATAATAAAAACAACTAAATTACAAAAAAAAAAATAATTAATGAAAACTATTTTATAGAGAAAAATAAAACGCTCTAATGGTGTAAAAATCTAAACAATTACATATTACTCAGGAATTGTATAGTTTTTGTAGGTTAAACAAATTTTTAAAAATATTGATTAAAAATATCTTTACCTATTTTACGGCGGAGTATAACGTTTAATTCATTATCCACTTTAAAGAAAGCCCCAAACGTATTTTTCTTTAAAGTAAGAAAACCTAAAGAAGCTAAAAACGAGTTTATAAGCTACAATATTGTGAAAATTCTTTTATACATAAAATTATTTACTTTACAGCACAATTTTATTGATATACATAGCAGGAATAATAATAGTTTACCATTTTCTACAACTAAAGGTAAACCCAAGCGGGATAAACTATTAGAAGAATAAAAGTTTTTTAAGTAAAACTTTAAGCATTTCGATGGGCGGTTTTTAAATAATAAAGAAACGGTTCTGAAACTTCTGCTATAAAAAGTATATAAATATTTGTAATCTTTATAGCTTTGGGTTGATAATGTATCCCGCCCATCTTAAAAGTTCCTATACATTTAAGAACGGATATTGTCTTAATAAGTTGTATCAGAAAATCATCACAAAAACCTTAAATTTTAACCTGAAAACGAGGACAAAGGCGGAGTGGACACAAAATTCTACAAGGTGGATTTAAAATGTTCGACCTAAAAGACACCGCTTCTCAGCGATACTTTTAGTAATGTATCTTAATTTTAAATTATTAGAACTACAAATTTATTAAAATCATGTCATTCTAAAGTGAAAAAGAACATAAGATTTATTTAACCTTATCAAAACTTGTTGATGACATATGAATAAAATTGTTTTTTTTGTTTTTAAGTGCAAGGATTTTGTCATAGTGTTGCCTTGAGGTTAACTAAGTGTAAATTGTGAAAATTACTTTATATTCTAAAACGCATACCAGCTGAAAGACTAGGCCTTCCTGTTTTTACTTATTTTTAAGTATATCGCCAAGTTTTTATATTCAATATTAAAAAAATTACATGTTACAAAGTATGGAATGGATTTTTTTCTTTAAAGTGCAGCCTACTTAGATTTACACTTTGTATTTATAGTGTGGTTAGAATAAACTATGTAGAGGCTACAAAATTTTGTTCAATAAATAAAGTATTAATTAAAAGCGACCTACGAAACAACTAAATGCAATTAAGAAGCAACTTTATATAAGTTACTTCTCCATTACAGTTACGGAAAAATTCCTTTTATGCTGACCATTTGAAATACCTTACAGGGTAGTTATATTTAGCTTTGTCGCTAAATAAAATTTTATAAATTTCCAGCTTTGGGGTTCTTTACCTCTTGACTTTAAAACCTCTCTGGTGAAGGTAGGTACCTTACGTAAATTAGAACTACAATTCTCAACAGTTAGAAGGATTTCCTAAATATCTAATTAGAAATTATTGTTAGTTTTATTAAATCCGCCCCAAGTAATTCCGTGTCTAATATCTACTGTAAAAAGACTTTTTGTGTTTATAATACATAATTTTAAAATTTTTTCTTATGCCAATGCTACATTAAAGGTGATACAGCTTCGTTCTCCCCCTTTATTTTTTAGCTTATCCTTTGCTTCTCAATTGTCTCGCAAAACTTTTTTAAAGATATTTTATTCTAGTATTATTAGTTTTTGTAGATGCTCGGTAAAATCGAGCGCAGGCTGCCTAGTTTTTGCTAAAAAATGATTATTTTGCGTCATTTGTATTCAGTTTCCGTTAGTCATCTCATCAATTTATACATACACACGCATGTGTTGAGGTTTACAGTCGAAAAGTGTATGGTTAAAAAGTATTGCGGAGGTTGTAGGAGAAGTGAGCCTGAGCAAGGCTTTAAGTCGTTCCAGATCCAGACCATCGTGCAACATGTCATTGCGCACGAAAAAAGTTGCGCTTGCCATTAGGCGAGGGGCTTATTTGGTGCGACTGCAAGAATGCAATCGTACGCCCAAGTAACATGCGTTGGCCCTAATAGAGCGCACTCAAATTTCAGGGAGATGCAGTTTATTGCGCAGGAACATCGTGCTTATTTTCACACAGCAGCGCGTAGTGCGTGGATTGCCCCTCTTATTAATCGCAACAAATTTTACATGTTAGTTGCTTATCGACGATGACCCCCAAGTATATGGCCTGAGAGCCCCATGGGATCTTAACACCTTCCGGGGTTAAAGGCGGGTTAGCGCAGCTCATTTTTGAAATGAGAATCGCTTTGTTCTTCTCTGCATTACTGGTTAATTCTCACCCCCTTCACGAGTTGGCAAGCGTTTAAATAGCGTAGGTGTCGTAGTTATATCTACTAACTCTCTAAGGACAAGTAAACTGCTGCTCCATCGGCGTAGAGCGTGAAATGGGCATTGCTAGGAGAAGAGATGAAAGTCAGAGCCTTGCAGAACACCAGCTGTCAATCAACAGTATGATGATAACGCAGTTCCAAGTCTTGCTCGGAGAATGAGCCCGTATAGAAACCACACTCTTTTGCGCACATTTTGCTTATGAAACTCTCATGCGATATACGGTTATTTTTTTAAGGGTAAAAAATGCCTAAAGCTGATATTTGTGGATTCTTATAATTAAATTTCCGAGTTGTCTACTCAATATAGAAAGAAAAATAGTTGGGTCGTCGAGATGACCTTTTCAAAATCCAAATTGAAGTTCTGGAAGCGCATCTTGTGTTTCTACAAATTCTCTTAGCCAGCGTAGTAGAACAGTTTTTACAATTTTGCTTACTACTGGAAGTAGACTAAGAAGACGATATTTGCTGTTAACACAATATGTTTCGTTAGTGACACTAAAGTCATTCCTTATTTATTTTTAAAACCGAATGAGTAAAGTACAGTTAGGCTCCGTTAACTGTAATTTTCATTATTTTCGATTTTTGCTATTATTATTAACTTAAGGGGTAAAGATGCTGTACTGTATTGTCGGTAGGAGCCCTTTCTGTTTGCAATGCCCCAGCGTGGTTCTTTCCGGGCCTGTAATGCTCTTATCGGCCCGATGCCTTATCAATAACTTTTAAATGTTTGATATACACTAAAGAGCTTGTTCCCAATTACTTTAATCACCCGCAATTTAGCGTTATATAAGTATTTTAATTTAATGCAATGTGACTATGCTATAAAAGTGAAACCTATTTTTTTGTTTTAGAAATTCAAAGGTGGCAAGATCTGTCTGTTTTAATTTGATTTAAAGTATTTTACTTATGTTTCATAATTTATGATACATGAAGATATGTGTGAACACTCTAAAATATATAACTAGTAAAGGAATAATTATAAAGTATGCACTTAGTTTACGGCTATCCAACCATTTATACCGTCGGAAATATCACGGAAGACATACTTGCATTGCAATATTTTCTGGTCTTTCTTATTACTTAGTAACAAAAAGTTATTACAAGTTTATTTTAATGAGTTCTTTATATATTTTTTAGGGGACTTCCATATTTGCTGTTATAACAGCTTCTTCGTTGAGTATCTGGCTCGATAAAGTAATAAAATTCTAGTTTGTAAATTTAAAGGGCCCTAACATATTGTTAGCCAAAGATTTGTTTGATATCCTTAATCCGAAACACAAACTCCTTAACTTTGTTAGGCAGGAACCTTTTTTTGGCTTTAAAGGCTGACTTCTCCCTAATCATTGTGGTTCTTCCTGGCTATACATACAGTTTATCCTTAAAACGTATTTATTTATTTCAATAGACGAGCAAAAATTACTTACTGGGCTATAAAGTCCTTGCTCATAGCAGCTGGTTGGATGATACACAGTTTACTTTAAAAGCACCCTTCTCGTTTTCACTTGATTCTGGAGAGCATCAGGACTTTCCCAGTAAAAATATGCGTTTATAGAAAAACAAACCGTTTATTTTTTTACTATACAGCCTATTCCTTGAAATTACAATTTGCTTTTCGCTTAGCATTCGACATACTTTCGTATTTCATTAGCTCTTACAATTCTTTCTGGAAATCTTATATATTACCAGCTTAGCGTTTAAATCTGATAATACTTTTTTGCTGACTCGCGATGGTTATGTTTATTGTGTTGATGAAGAGAAAAGAATCAAAAAGGTTTTTTTTCAGCTTCCTACCGCTTATCTCCTTACCAACTTGGTCGCTTAGGAAGGTAGTTTTTTTCTTGGCGATATCGATTTAGATGGAAAGTTATTACAAGGTCAGTTCCGCAGCAGTTTTTTAGAAAAAGGATTGAAATACTGTTATTGCAGAAGTCTCATTTTGCGAAAAACTAACTTTTAGCGAACAAGAGGAGGTTTGCTACACGCTTCTTTCTGACGGACGGGCTGCTGCTCTTCTACTGCATGACAGTAAAGAAATTACCTCCGCGTTCTCTCGCCTCTTTTATAATATTATATATAGAGCGCGGTCTTTATTTTCCCGCCATTTACGATGCTGACCAGATGGCTGTGAATGGCCGTTATTTATTGGCTGCCATTGGCTGCAGAAGGTGCCTTTCTACAGTATTTGTTTTACTTGCAATGGCATGATCCGGTATAGTGGCAACACTTCAGTGTTTTCCGTGGCCAAGCAAAGAGACCGCCCTGTGCTCCGCAGTGTACTGCCAGCGCCCTCCTCATTTCACACACGTGCCCTTCCTTGATGCTCTTTTTAAGATTTATGCCGGCCATACACTTTTGTATTATAGCTGCAGGGGGTGTCAGCTGCCTGGCTTGGTCGTCTACGGCAGATGTGCTGGCTGTTGTATTAATTATCGTTGCGTCATTAGTACATTGCACGCATTAACTACTCTGCGGGTCAATCAATTAAGGGCTACAGTGCTGGAGGATTCCGGTTGTGGAGTGGCTTTGGACGCTTATTATTTTGCCTGCTTAATGAAGCTTCGTATGTATTATGAATGCTTGTTGTATTTCTTGCGCTACTCGAGCCTTCGAGGACCTTCGATATATCCTCTCGTGAACTTTTTCCTGCCCAAACTGGCGTTGACTTTCTGGTAGACTTACTTTACTAATTAAGCTTCTAATTATGATGTGAAGACTATTAAGGTCTGGGGCCCTTCAGATTATGAGCTGTTGGTTGGTTTCAAAAATACATTGGAGTCGGAAAAAACGAAAGGCCTGTTGTATGCGTATTCGGTTGCGAAGAAGATTTTTATTCAGCCTGGTAGCGATGTAAGCAGCGTCCAACTCACATGTGCTCGAACTGAAGCTACCTCTATAAAAGTGCAGCTACTCGGCATGCATCCTCTGCGGGGCAAGTCGAATTTTTTACTGTCTCCCACGAGACGAGTCGACCATGCACAGAAAACAAGTCTGCTCCTCCTTTCGGGTTGTTCAGGTTGCATAGACTTTTATTATTCAAAAGGCTAATAGTGGTGCATAGGCGACCGAGGCGTACATATCCGACAATGGGCCAATCAGAGTAAGCATTGTGTGTTTTCTAGCTTAATACCAAAGTTGATAAGTCTATTGAATCAGTGTGCTGCATTCAGCCCCAGCAGGGACTGTGTGGCTATTGCGTGCCAGAGAGGGTTCGCCCTGTACTTACTAGACGACGAAAAGTGGAAACTATTTCAAAACGCGGCAACGGAGAGCGAGTTTTGTTGCGAAAAGGGTTTTCTGTGGATCGACCGCTACCTTTTATTCTTTTGCCAATTAGCAGAGGGCCTTGGACAGGTGGGCTTTGCTTTAGGTCCCGTCTGCACACGCATATTCAGCACTTCTTACATTACAGCTGCGCGCATACGACTGTGACCTTCCACTTGGAGACGAATCTTTGGTGTGGTGTTTGCGCCAGGACCAGCAAGTCGAGTACATGTCCAGCACCAACAGCTTTCTGCTGACCATGAGGTTGGACAAACGCGCCGACCTATACGTTGTCCAGCGGCAGCCAGGTCGGGATTAGCCTGCCCTACACGTGTTTCCTCTACTGACTTATAATGCTTTAGCCCTAAAAGTAAACATTCTTCAAAGCTTTCACATGGAGGCTTACCTAGAGCTACGTGCACCAGTCATCTTTGCTTCCATCTCTACCACTAGTCTGTGCTTCGGTGTGTGTATTCCACACAGCAATGTACCAAAAAAGATCATGCACACTTTTTGTTAAAAGGAGAAAGCGTGTCTGGACTGTTGTGCATTATTTTTAATTGCGGTGGTACTTTGGGGTTAGTGGAGCTTCTGAGAGATGACGAAAATTCCACTTTGCCAGTACAGATCGCACAAATTGTTTATAACTCCGCTGAATCGCCTGTCCACCGCTACGTTAGTTTAAACTTGGAGCATATGCTGTGCTTGCGGATTCCACGGATTATGTCTTCTCCTCCGCCCGTCTCGCGGAAGCCTTCCCGTCTCTAGGCAGCCTCGCTTATAGTAGTGATAGAGACAAGCTGAAGGTTTCTGGCCTTGTCGCTTTTCCCCACGAGGAGCTTCTTGCGCTCTCCGCCGACGTCTCTCTCCAACTCGACGGCTACCCTATATGTTCGTTGCTTGGTGTTCATTGCCTGGATTCGCTGAAGCGGTATGTCTACTAGGTTTAGACTTCGCAGCCGCTACTATGTGGACGGTGCGCTCTTCTCCATCTACTGAAAAAGGCTCTCCTGGACTTAATATTATTTTTCAAGTATACGTAGATTTTCATTTCTTTATCCTTAAAAAAGCTTTTTTTTTTAGCCAACTCCTTTTTTGGGTAGCCTACTCCGCCGTATTCTGTCCGGCAGGTCGTATACCTTACATGAGGGCAGCAGTAAGTTCGGTTTCCTTAACAAATATTTTGATATAGAGGAGTAAAGGCGGCTTTCAACGTTGCACAGTTTTTCGGTCATTTACCACATTTTGATTTTTCTTTAGAAATGCTTTTGTATGAGGCATTAACAGAAAATGGCGAGGGTAGGTGGCACGCTTTAACCACTTTAAATTTTTTTCTTACTTGCGCTACTCCCCTCCAGATTTGCTACCCATTATTAGCTTGATACAGTTATTTCCTCAATGTGCTTCTGTTATTGCTAACTGCGCCAGGAAAGTGGACATTTCTTTATGGGGCGCTCTTTTTTCGCCTTCCATAGACGTGAGGGCATTACTTGAGCGATGCGTGTTCGAGAGGCGGTTTGAGACGGCCGTTTCCTACCTGATCATTATGCACTGTGGGATTGACAAAGTTGTTAATGTACATTTGCTATTACGCAAAAATGGAGGATCCTAAGTACTCATAGTTACTACTAGTGTGATGAAATGATACTAACTACACTACTGCAAAACTCCCGCTGGGCTCTTGCAAAAAGGGTGATATCTTTTCTCTCTACTATTACGGAAAGTACTGTAAACATCCATGACTCCTTTTACAAACTAATATAAATTGCTGAACAGCGTGGCAATATGATTTTGATAAAAAAATGGAACAGTCGAGTAATAGTTGTTCGTTAAGGCGCTCTTCTTCTATTTCTTCTTTAGCGACTCCCAGTAAACCAACTGACCAACTTCGTTGCGGAAAAGACGTCGTAATTTTCTGTAACTGGGCTCATCTTTATGCCACTGAGGTGTTGCAACTCTTTAGATAAATGCAGTTTTGCGCGGATATGCCCGGTCTCTGCTGGAAAAATATCTTTTAAAATCTTTAATTTATTTTTCTCAGTATCTGCATTTTCCTCTGATATTTTGTTTAAGAGAAGAAAGGTTCTTCCTTAATTTGTAGCCGTAACGGTCACCAAGGAACTATATATTTTTATAAGAAACAATCTAGCTAGAATAGAACATTTTGTTTGTGCATTTACATCCATTGTTAATCAATTTCGTGAAGGTATCTCTCTTTATAGCTAAATGAATTGACTATTTTTGGTTTATTTTAAGTGATTAAAAGCTCTTGACGTCGACCAGGAAACAGCACTTATTAATCAGCCAAAAGTTTGCTCTAAACATGAACAATCTTCCTATACGGGAAATAAAGTATATGTTACGGATAAGAAAGTATATGCCCTGCAAGAGTTAAGGTTTACCTCTTGCGAACTGCCCAAGTATTCTGCCTACTCATTTTTACCTAGATATTTATCGGACGTTTTTATTATAAGCCATTGCTATGAGTGGCTCGCCTTAATCTCTATTTTTTTGCTGTCGAATAGAAATTATCTGTTAGCTTTGCAGTTTATAAAAAAGTAATTTTTTTTTGTATAATCCAGCTACAAGTTATCGTAGTTTGTAGGAAGCTAAATTCCGACTTGGAATATAAAATATTCGAAGGCGAATTAAAAAAACTTGAAAAACAATTTTTGTGGTTTGTCCTTGACCCAAAGATGTCTTTGTTTTGCGTCTCAATTTTAATTGTCTCATTTACAGGCCTCCCTGGAAAGAACTACTTCTTCGCCATATTAATTAAGGTCGCGGTGAACTTCTTGAAAACTTTTTATATATTTTAATAATGTTAGTGGTGTTTGTAATGTATTTATAACAATAATGTCATCGCACCGTCTTAAATAAAATTAATTAATATTGCTTTAGCAGTTTTCTTAGGGGATACTGAAGTCTTCATTAGGAATTTATCCTTTTTCGTTGATTACATTTTTAGACCATTCTTAAAGTATATTTAACAACCTTTTAAACTGAAGCGATTTTTATAATAAATGATCAGGCGATAAGCTTTTTAAAAGAATATTTTTTAAAGAAGTAAAGGTTGATCATACACGCTATAAAAATAAATCCCCAACAGGGACAAATAGGGGATTTCCTTTATTAAGCTGCACCGTAAAATATGGAAACAATTTGAACTAGAGACCCCCTAGCGATAGCACTCGTGTTGGTAACTTGAAAGATTCTTAAAACATCCAAAGGTAGAAATGTAGTAACTAAGGTTTGTTTGCTTGCCGACTCGAATTTTTTGACGCACGGGCGTGAGCAAGGCAAATTAATTTTTCTTCGTACGAAACAATTGGAGTTCAGTGGAAGATACAGCCTCTCAAAAAAATTTAGCCACCCACGAGCGGTATTACAAAAATAGAGATATTATAATTGACAATTTTGTAACCGAATATTAATATATCGGAGTTGAAAATCAAATGGTGTGAAATTACAGAAGCTCTGAGGTAAAAAGATGTTTATTGCACGTTAAACGAAGAGAGCAGTGTTACAAGGATAAGTTGGGCTCAAGTATCGTAGATTTTCCAACCAGTTATGTCGACTGTAGTTAAACCAGATAAAATATATTTATGTTTGTAAAAATTTACAAAGCCTAAGGTCTGACCAATTTACAACTGAAATTCAAAACTTCTAGAGATAATCCTCCTAAATAAAACGGAATTAAGATCATTTTATAGTTAGATAAACAAGGTTTAGTTCCTATTCCCAACGCCTTAAGCTGTTAATAAAGTTCCTGTTGTCTGCTATCCTGGGAAAATAAAAACATTCGTTTGGTTTAATAAACTTTTTTTAATAGTAAGTATGAACTCTTTAGCTTCATTATTAATAATGTGTTCTTTTGGGGTATTTTCATATCTTCTAAAATGCGGTTACGCTCGAATAGCTAATAAAATAGAAATTTTAAATTAAACCGTCTGCTAAACCTTTTTATTTAAAAAAGCGTTTAAAATTATGATTAAACTTCATTTTCTTCTTTATAACCCTCACAACTTAAGGCTTATCTTTAAGCTCTTGTAAAACGCTCGTTTGGAAATGTTTTTCAGTACAAACGTTGTCGAGTTCGCCTTGCTTTTAGGCCAACTTAAGAAAACTAAGCGAGCCGGTTAGAATACGACTGCTCTTTATTCATACACTTTTACTTTATTAGTACTAATTTTTTAGGTTGGATTTACCATGGCGTGAATTCGCCTGAGAGCATTGCGGATCATATGTATCGGATGGCTCTCCTTAGCTTTTGTCTTCCAAATGATCTTTCTATAAACAAGGACCGGTTATTATCAATTTTATTATAGTTGAACTACTTATTAAAGCGTGAGACCAAAGTGAAACTTGCCCTTACTCCAAGTAGCCTGTTTAATTATTTGTAACTTTGGGTTTTGTAAGCAAAACAAGAAATTTAAACTTTACAGGCTTTCAAAGTGTCTTATTATACTAACCGTTTTATTATTTTTACTTAAGAGATATATTCGGCTCAGTACTTTCCAGCTGCACTCTACCTTTACTTGAGCGTTATATTAGTTTCTTTTTTGTGTATAAAGTTGCACTATTAAAAAGGGTTAAAACATTTTTTACTATGCCTGACGGCTTCTCGTATATGACCGTACCAAAGATCTTAAAAAATCTATAATTATTTAGAAAGCATAATATCTTTTTTTCTGAAAACTTAGTTGTATTAAGATGAGTCTAGTTCACGACTTGGCCGAGAGCATCGTCGGCGACATTACTCCTATGGATAACGTGACTAAAGAGGAGAAACGCGAAGCGGAACGTGTACGTAACTTTTTAAAGCCCAATTACATGTTTTTTTGCTTTCAGTGCTTAAAAAATTTTGGCGTTATTCTTTTAGCCTCTATAAAGCTTGTGTACTTGCTTCTAGCCCCTTTTTAAATAAAAGTTGGCTTATTAGATTCGTTACTTTAAAATGGTTGTTTATAAAACTTATTTCTAGTTTAAATTTAGAAAGTTTTTATTTTAAAGGCAGCCATGAAGCAAATCGAGGCTACGCTCTTGAAAGACGGGAAAAGTTCTTCGGAGGGTTTGGACCTGGAACTATTAGTGTTGTGGGAAGAATATGAACTTGGCACAAGTAAAGGTTGTTTCTCTGCTGGTTATCAAGTGTAAAACGTCAAATTATTGTTTTTTTTTAATAGAAGCGAAACTCGTGAAGGATCTCGATAAGTTTGAAATGCTCTTGCAGGCTTTTGAGTACGAAAAAGGTTTTTTTCTTTAATTTTGCGTATCTTTTCAGAGACGCTCATCTAACTTATAAAAAACAGAACAGAATATAGACTTGCAGGAATTCTTTACTTCCACTGAGGGCACAATTAAGACCGAAACGATCAGAAGTTGGCTGGACGAGCTTTGCAGGCGCCGAGAGGATATAAACTCTCATATTCTCACTCAACTGAAGTGACGGAATTCACACTGCATTTTTTAAAAAAAATCTACATCGAAACCTTTATTATTTACAATACAGAATTATTTTGACCAGTTGGTCACGTGTTAAGCGTCCCCCATAAAATGTGCGCTGCTTATATTTCTAAGGCCTGCTTTTCGACTTTGGCGATGATGTGTTTTCCGTATGAAAAGTTTTTGAGGTACTCGAAATGTGGCTTCAGGTGAAGCAGCAGTTCTTCCCGTTGTTCGTCCTGGGCAACGTCGATCATTCTTTGTACAACGTAGTTTGCATACTGATCCTTAATCATCGTGTGCAATCCTCCCCTGATAAAAATAATATATATATATAAGAATAGGAAAAACGAAGAAAGAGTTGCACTTGTTTCCATCCTTTAGTACTTCAGAAATCAGCACAGCGCGCTGCTCGCTGTCTCCATGAATCAAACACTTTTCCACCACATTACTGGCAAACTTGTGCTGACTCAGTAGCAGTACTCGGTTCCGCATACTTCCGATTATTTTATCCCTGTCACACCGTCTTCCGTGCTCCAGCACATGCTGGATTACATAATTTCCGTACTGATCCTGTTTTATTAATTAGTTTTTTTTCCCACCTGCATAGCGCGTATAAGCAAAGACCACCTGTGTAAGCTCAGAGGCTTTGCCGTGTAATTCCTCAAGCACGTATGTAATTTGGTAGTCAGTGCAGTGTTCTAAAATGCGCTGGATAACCCGGCATCCGTAGGGATGCGCCGCCAGCTCGCAAACAAGATTTTTCAAGGCGTCCACTATAAAACGTATTTCCTGAGGGGGAACGCACTCTATACACTTTTGAATAACATGATTACCGTTTTGGTCCTGTTAAAGTATTAAGCAAAAAGTCAGCTTAAAATATTAAATTCTGTTATAAACACTATAACGTAATATGGTAGAAGTTCAAGTTAGGCCTAACTGTAGGGCTGTAGTAAATAAAAGTAATCAGTGCTTTTACGTTTAGTGAGCTTGCGAATAACTACTCTTTTGTTACACAAATTTTTAAGTAAAAAGAGATAACTGGTGAATTTGCAAATTAGGACAGAGACTAAGCCCTTTTACCTTTATGCACTGCAGGACATGGCCTCGAAGCTCTCTGGCCAGCTCTATTTGCTGCGGTAGACCTACGGAGTCAAAGGCTTTCTGGATGACCCTGCAGCCATACACTTGCAGGGATAACATGAGCACGTGACCCGTTAGACGTGAGAGCAATTCAGCTTTGTGCTTTTCAGTTCCAAACTCAAAAAACTTTTGAACAACATAATTCCCAAAAATGTCGTTTACTAATAACATGGTGTGAGGCAGAATTTCTAGAAGATGAGGAAAAGGAGCCAATCGATAGCTTCACTCTTAATATGAGCATGGAATACCAGACCTGCAAACATGAGATCCTTTCCGGCTAGTGGCAAACCTTCCAACTTTTGCTGGATAAAACGAGAGCCGTATTGGTCGAACGACAATTCTAGGACGTGGCCAGTAATTTCTGAAAGGTGGAGCTTCCTGCTAGAGCGAACTTCCTCTAATAAACGGTGGCGACTTTGATGGAGGACTCGTGTAGCTTCATCACCGCTTTTTGAAACACTTAAATAACTTTCAGTCGATCTTTCCGCTGCTACTAAGCCCTTCTTTGGAGATCCCATAAATCTTTTGGGATAAACTTGGACTTTCGTTAAGTTTGAATTAAATTCGTGGGGGTCTTCCGAATCTCTTTTTCTGCATTTTATAATATATTTGTTTTAAGAAATATTTAAAGTAATATAAATATTTATTTTATTACTTACTCATTCCTTGCGAAGATTTTGCGCCCACGATTTGCCGTGTGAGTTATTAGTGAAGGTGTTTTAAGGTAAGTTATTTCACCCTCTCCACTTTGCTTTAAAGGCGTAACAGAGCCAAGATTTCTAGTAAAAGACGAAGAACGTTTTTGATAGACCTGCTCTGTTGACTGAAATGGATAATATTGTGGGCTTCCCAAACGTAAAGAATCTTTCCGTTGAAGGATGCCCCTCCCCACGTTTTCCATGTAAGCATCTTTTTGTTATAGTCAATGTAATTATTAGCTTTAATAAGTACTTCTAGTTAATTACCGTAAGGTAAGACCTCACAGGGATCAGAATTATTTTTTATGTCGATAATATTTGAAAAGGCAGGTTGCATAGAGAACGGGAATCTTTCTTCTTGACAAACACCTTTCTTAGGAGGGCTACTTTGGTTAAGCGGAACACTCTTCGTTGTATAACAAGATTGCTGTAGTAAAGGATCTTTCGAAAATTTTACAGTTGGAATTAGTTCTTTTTGTTTATTTGGTAGAGCTAAGAATTCAGAGTTTTGAGAGTTTATAGTATTGTGTTCTCTTTTCGAACTTGCGCCTAGTGTACTTGCTGCAATTTGGAATTGTTCGTTAAGGCTATTTAATTGAAGATTTTCCAAGTCTGAAGTTGTTTTTAATAAAGCTTCCTTATTATTTTCAATATTATCTCGCGGAGGAGGTGAAGGCAGACCTCGTTTTTCTGGTTTGCCGTTATTTCTTGAGTTAGAGAGCGATTTTATCTTTTTACATTCTACTTCAGAAAATTAAATTTAGTTTACTATAAAGAAAAGTTTATAGAAAATAAGTTATAAAATAATAGTGACCCGTTTGAACTTAATACCTGTAAGATCAATATCGCTTGGTAAACTTTTAACAGCTTGAGACTTACTTAAAAATAAAGTTAGTTCTTTATTTTCATCAAGAATTGCAGAGTCTATAATATCATTTAGTGGAGAAGGAGTGTCGTTCTGGCGGGTTTCACCCGCATTGTTCTGGTTGTTTTTTAAATCCAAGGTCCACTGAGACCACTCGTTGGGATACTCTAAAAGAGCATCCGTTATGGCTGAGACCGGAGAGGGAGAGGACTGGGTAAATCTAGTACGGGAGAAAATTTCTCGAAAGGAAAGATTCGTGTTTGCTGGTACATTGCCTTTAAAGTCATTATTTTTTGGTTGCACATAACCAAGTTCTGTGCATTTGACCGGAGAAGACAGGGTTACAGCAACCTTAGAGGCTGTATTAAAAATTTTATGGTAAGAGTTTGCTTCCAACTTCGAGCTATTTATAGAGGTCTCCTCTCCGAAGTTATACGTTAAAGTTTTATCGACAGTCTTATCGCATCTTTGAGAAAAAGGACATAATGCTTTAATCTCATATTGACAAAAAGTCTTCTCTTCTTGTTTACCATTACAAATTTCTACTTCCTCTGAAGTGCTGGAACACTTTTCCTCTTCTTTTTTTATAGAAGAATTAACTTCAGAGGAAGAACTTAATTGACTGGTAGCAACAGCTATATATGACAGTTCTAGTTGTGGTGTGGATTTTGCAGTCATTATAATCAACTTTAAGAAGTATATTGAGTATAAAAATTTAGGTTAAATTATAGAAGAATATATTTATATTAATTTATACCAAGCAGTTAAATTTAAATCAAAGCTTTATAACAAAACAAAATTTCAAGCAGCATCATAAATTAATTTTAACAAAGTTATAAAAAAAGTTTCTCTATTTATTAACTTATTAAACTTATCAAGTACTATTTACAAAATATTTACACGGGTATTATTATTTAGTACAATTCATTTTAAATATACAAAAACTAATAATGACACGACTTTGCTACGCAGCAGTTTGGTCTTTCCTAATACGTAAGCAAATTGTTTCAGTTTGACTTCCATAAAAATGTTTTATAAGCTAAAACATTGCTCTATTCGTTGTATAAAGAGAGACAAATCTAGCTTTCAAAAACGGTTTTAAAAAAGCCATAACTCTTTCAGCAAGCATTTTATATGATGCCATATGTTTTATAACGATATTAAAATTTACAAAATTTGATATTTATAATATGATTAAAGACACTTTTACTTTGGTGCAGGTTGTAAAACAAATGAAATCTCGCAAATGTTAGATTTACCATATTAGGCGCTAAAAGGTAGTTAGCTTGTAGAAAAAAGACATTCGAGAGATCCAGAACTTTATCTATGTTTAGTTATCCCATTCGAGATAAGCGGACGGCTCAAACCTCATTACTATATTATTTTAACTTTTGTTATACCCCTATACGCGTATTTCTTACTGGTCAACTATAGCGCCTCTAAGTTATATTAAAAGAGAAAGCGAATAGTTCCATTAATTTGCTTTGCGACAACATGAAAGAACTAAAACAAAACCAAAGGTTTCCTAATATTATCTGAATTATAACTCTTAAATCCGATTTAGGTGAGTTGTATACCCAATTTTTTTAAAAAAATTCTTGGCAAAAGTAAAGAAGGTAAAAGCCGATCCTTAGCAATGTAAGACTAATATTTACTATGTAGTTAAATTATAAAAATTAGCGCAAGACACTTGATGAAGTACAGTAAGCAATATCACTTTTTATCTGTTATATAAGGTTTATTGATGTGTTTAATATATATTAAATAAAATTATCTGATTTACCATTGATATTAGGGAAACTGAAAAGCATGAACACTTACTCGCAAAGATACGTCTTAACTTTTTATCATTCATTTCACTACATCAACGTTACAAAGGTTAGTGACAACAAATTTATCTAACCTGAGCGGGTGCCCCCCTTGGGTGTTGTGCAGTAAATTTCGGCTGGAAAAAAAGGTCGTATGCACTCGCTGAAGGAAAGGTTTGAACCCCTAAATAGCTTTGTTAACGACCAGCAAAGTTCTGGTTGCTCGCCATAAGAGAAGGGAAGAGCATCGAACCTTATTATTTTTATAACTATTAAAGCGCAACTAATCGGGGGACTTCCTTTTGGAGTTGTGGTAGTCTCGACATGGTTTCTTCAAAGTTGCGGGGGGCTACTATTAGTTCGGTGATGAATAGTTTATGTACTTTTTTTGTACGTGAGAAGGGCAATACCTACTGGAGAGAAATAGGTATTGTATGTATGATACCGTTAAAGAAAAACAGAGGCTTGGTCGAAGTATTAAAATTCACTCATAAATTAGATAACAGAAAACTTTTTATGCTTTCTGAGTGTTCCTATTAGTCGCAATAATTTATCAAGGACGTATTAAGTCAAAGAGTGCGAGAGCCAGGTAAAGATACAAAGACTACCTTTATTTAAAATTAATTTTAACTCTTTAATTAATTCTAAATACCCTAATTTACTAAAAAGCCTTGTTTCATAAACTAGCCTTGTAAATCTGGGTGATGCTACCCCCAAGCTCCCTCTAGACCTGAACGCCCACCCACTTAATAAGCACACTATAAACCGACCAAAACAAGTTTTATAGTTTATAATACGTGTCCTTCTTACATTATCTTAATCAATATGATTAAATTTTGATAAAATTTTATACTACCATTAACTTTTTCGAACTGAGACTAGAGTTTGAGGCCTATATACATAATTTTTACCTCATGATGTACGCCTGTTTTTTGGTGTGGTGAGTAATTTAACGACTTGTAAAAAACTTACTGTTAACATTACTGCTAATTAGTATATAAATTTTTAATGTCAGAAGCTTTAGAGAAATAGGAACTTACTTTTTAGAAGTGTGCTCATAGTCTGAAAGGCTTACTATGTAATGGTCTTTAGCAGAGTTCTTGGTCTTCTTAGCAAGCAACAAACCTCTCTCGACGGAGGTTTAAGATCTATGCCAAAATAAAGGTAAAAGCAAGAAAATAGTTACTCTTCCTTAAGACAAAAGCATTTTTCAGTCAGCCAGCATAAATTTTTTAGGAGGTGATGGAAAGTTCTTTATTTTTAATGTTTTTATAATAAAACCAGAAATGCATGAAAAGAAGTTATTGTATTGCCCAGTAATTTCTACAACTTCACCCTGAATGTATATAGTTGTAAATATATTTTAAAAAACAAAAGATTTGTTCCCTAAAATAGATTTTAAAATTTTTGTTTGTTTTAACTCCGAACAATATATTTCGCCGTACTTTTTGTTAATATTGAATATTTACTTAGGAAAGGTTAGGGGTGGGTAGGGGGTTTAGTAGAAAGTAAATTAACTTTAAATACTATAAAAAAAAAAAATTAAATTTACAAAGTTTTGTTTATTATTTTTACTAAGTTTAAAAGCATAGATGCAAAAATAGAGACCATAAGACACTGCATTTTTATGTATAGCATAATCAAAAAATCCAGTGTTTTATTCCTAATTAATTCATAGTTTATTAAAAACTTTAATTACTTTAATGGTAAACTGAAACTCTTCATGGATTTTCATTATTTATTGAAACGTAATAAACTCTGTGCTTAGTGAAAGATACTAAAAAAAATTTCAAGGTTGCTGACAGCTTCAAGTGACATAAAAAAGTTAGTTTTCTCCGTAACGTAAATTGCTATTTTTATCAAACAAGTAAAGTTGTTTTTCTTCGGTACTAATTTATTTAGACGTCTAATAAAAGATTAAAAAAAAAATTTGTAATAACTCACAGTCGTAGCTTAACTTAGCTCAACTATAATTAAAATACCTTTAAAGGATTCCACTAAACGCTACACAATTTTTTATGCATTAATGAAAATTAATTAAGTAATTTGTGATAATTAATCACAGCCTTGGCTCAACTATAATTTATAACCTTAAGGAGTCCACTTCACTCTAAAGCATTTTATTAATATTCTTTTATAAATGGTATTTGTTTTTTGCCAAGATAATTTTCTTAAAAGTAAAAGGTAAAGGGGAATAAGAAGTCAAACGGAGAGGATGGGAATAAGGGTGGAAGAAGGTACCGCTGAAGTGTAGTGGACTTCGGGGACTTAGATGGAGTTGATGCTCCGAAATGACGGACATTGTTGAACGTTTACAATCAGTCCAAAGAAGAGTACTTGATGCCCCTCGCCCCTTAGGACAATCCTTAGTTATTAAATATACATCCTTTGCCTTTTAATAACTTTTTTAAAATCTTGAAATGTGTTAGCCTAGGTTGGTGGCTGTTTCTAAATTTAAAAGTGTTCACGATATAAAATCATGTTATGACGCAGGACAGCGAAATTTTGGTGAAAATTATGTATTATTAAATAACATTCTAGTTATATAAGCCTTTAAAAAAATCTCTCATTATAGATAAAAGAGCTTGTTGAAAAGTCATACCAGCTTCCGTCAGATATAATGTGGCATTTTATAGGGACTTTTCAGAGCAATAAAGCTAAAAGTTTGGCTGGTTGCTTATATTTCTTTTTTTATAAATTTTTTTTTTTATTTATAATTACCGTTTCCCATAAAGTTATTGATATTATCATATTTTTTAGTGCCCTTAAGTTATTAACCGTTTTCTTATAAAATAGTTTCGACCTTACTCTGTTAATTGTAGAAGCGGTGATTGTTATATTTTTATTTGTTAATTTGAACGTATGACGCTGTTATTATAAATAATAGCAATTTGTCTGTGTTATTAGGAATTTTAAACTTTTTCGTGTGGGAAACTTGTAGTAGCGTCAAACACGCCATCTCCATCGACCAAGCGCTTAGGGACAATCCAAATAGGAAGCAACCTTTAAAAGTTTTTGTTCAAGTGAATACCAGCGGGGAGAAAGGTTTTTTCCTTAGTATCCTCGCATAAACTCACTGATTTATTACAGCTTTTTAGCTAAAGGTGGTTGCGCTGTTAAAGATTGTAAGGATGTTGTGGAATATGTCCTCCGCCATTCCCACAAGCTTCAGTTTTCCGGTCTGATGACTATAGGCAGGGACTACGGTTCTACTCTGAGTGCGGACAATGAAGATTTCTTGGTACACAAGCTCTGCATACTTGCCATTGTTTCCACTAATAAATAAAATATATCAAATAAAATGAGTGTATTTTATGAAATTAAAAAACCAATTATAGTTAAAAATATAATAAATTTGAATACTATAAATTTATTTATTGTTTAAGTTATTGCTAGAACTGCGACGGGAAATCTGCACTGAACTCGGCCTTGATAGCTCTACGGTGGAGGTCTGAATTTTATTGTATATTATTCAGTAGCGCTTTTGTGCTTTACAATTTTCTTAAGCTAAGCATGGGTATGTCCTCCGACTTTGAACACGCTATAAAGCTCGGTAGCACCAACGTTCGAGTGGGCTCTCTGATCTTCGGGAGCCGCTGAGATAAGCACCTTTCCTGCGCTTTTTAATAATTGTTTATAAAAGTTTTACTTTTTGTTTTCTTAATTGGGCAAGTAAACATTTGATTATATGAAGGTATTAAATTAAGTTAGTATACTACACTACTACTTAGTTCAAAGAGGTCGGTGAGGTCTAAATTGCGGTATCAACGTACTTACAATGGGAATTAAGTTTTTTAATATTTGAATAACTGGTAGCTGCCAGGATCCCGAAAATCAACAGCGTAATTTCTAATCGACTTATTTAAGGCTCGACTTACAGCAAGCACTAGTATTTAGCGTACTCCAATTTTTCTTTAAATCATTTAATTAACAAAAATAATAGGCTGGTGTTAAAGATTTTATTCATCTCTTGATTTAGACAAAGAAATTAATTAAAAAAACAGAATTTATTTATAATAAACAATCAGCAGACAAGCAGTCACTATCTAAAACCTAAACGACACTCGCGCTCTTCAATAATAGATTTTTTGATGCCTTTCTCTTTGGGAAGAGTGATCCAGGGCTCTTCACCGCTACCAATAACAAACACGTTGGCAATCCGCGTGGCAAACTTATTACCGGCTTTGTCCTTCAGATGGACTATGTCAAACCCACCATTGTGCTTATCGCGGTGCACGATGACCCCCACACGCCCGACATTGTGGCCCAGCGTGCACATCGCAACGTTCCCCACCTCAAACTTGGCAATGTCCAAAATGGCGCTGGTGGCGATGTCTAGCTTGATGGTGTCGTTGACTTTAGCTAAAGGATCGCAGTAGCGGATTGTCCGACCGTCATGAGTCACGAGGTAGGGCACCGCTTTCGGACCCACAGCAACTTTTTTTACTTTGCACAGCTTATAAGTAGCCTCTTCTGGTGAGATACGGTGTATACCAAAGCGACCTTTCACGTCGTAGATAAGACGGAAAAACTCGCCTGTTTTTTCTATAGTAATAACATCTAACAAAGAGTGCAGAGAAGAGACGTTAGCGCGAAGTAATATGAGAAATAATTAAAAAATTGAAAAATTTGTTACCTTGAAATCCAGCAGGGAAGTTTACATCAGTTCGAACGCGCCCGTCAACTTTGACGAGCCGCTGATGTAATATGAGTTTCACTTCATTTCCAGTTAAGGCGTATTTCAGGCGGTTCCGGATGAAAATAATAAGGGGAATGCATTCGCGACTTTTATGAGGACCAGCTGAAGGTTTCGGGGCCCAAACGCCAGACAACTTGTCCAGCATCCAGTGACTGGGTGCATTTAGTCTTTTTAAATGCTTTTTAGGCCCTCGAGTCTATTAAAAATAATAAATGAGGTAGCTAAATACTTAGATACCAATAAAATATTTTTTAAAAAAACCTTGAATTAAAGTTATACAAAACTAAAAATTTTAAATTATAAGCAACTAAAATTGCTAAAAGGAAAGAAAAATATTTAGTTAACTCAGATAACGAAAAAGGTAAAATATACCAAAAATATTTAGTTTAAAAAGGATAACACAAAAGGTAAACAAGAACCATAGCGAAAGGCGTAAAGTTCCGAACATCCACAGCACATGCACGATATTTACTTTATAGTATCCGCTCCCCCTTCCAGTATCTTCTAGCGTGTTACCCTGCCCCCCATGCTGCCTCAGATTCTGTTTTAATAGTTAAAGACCTTGAAGAAGTTTCCAGGGAAAGATATGTAGCTTTCTAAGGAATCAGTACCCACTTCTCTAGAAGGATATAAAAGCTTACACTCTCAAATCCCAAAACTTGAGAAAATGTTTAATAAGCGTACTCTTACTGATGCTGGTTAATTAGCTTGAAACTTTCCTGTGTAGTATCGTAAGATAAAAATTTAATTTCAGAACCTCTAGACAATCAATTTTGATTTCTTTATACAATCCCTAAAACTTCAAAGAAGCAAACTGAGAAAATACATCAAACTAGGCTCCAAGGGCAAATTTTAAAACAGCATCATTTACAATTACTCACGGGTAATTTTACAATAAAAATGCCCTTCTTAAAGGCAGGAGAGTCCTTTAAGTATAATCCTTGAAGAAGACCAGGGAATAGCTTTGTTATCCTAAACAATTTTGTTTTGTTTTGTTTCTTGTATTTATAAAGGTTAAATACCCAATCCTTTGCATGGTGGGGAATTTCTCAAGAGTGAATGTTAATATATTTTCGACGCCCCCTTCCCGGGATAAGGGATACCTGCTTAAGCTATTACAGTTTCGAGTTATAAACCCTTTTTACAATTTTTTTAAAACTGTTATCCCTAAAACTTTACGAAAGGTAAAAAGCTTAACTAGATACACAATATATTTTATATACTTTGAAGCCTTAGGATAATATACGAAAAATGTATAGCAGCGTTGGCAACGCAGATCTAAAAATTTTTCTAAAAAGGTAAAAAACAATTAGTTTAATTTATTATATTTTCTACATGACAACATATTGTCTAACGGTTTGCACAATTATTTCGCAAAATTTTATGCTCACTTTTCCATGATAGATAGGTTGATATTGAGATAGTTATAAAATTCCTTTTTTTCTGGCAGATTCTGTATTAAGTTCAAAACAGTTTGAATTTATTGACACTTAAATTCCATAATTGATTGTAAATTTAGTGGTTACTTTTAAAAATATGAGGATTTAAATATAGTTAAGGTAATTAAATTGCTGCACAGACTGTTTATAATTCAGTTTTTAAGGCATTAAAAATTTTATAGACTATTAATCCTTATTTTCTGCAGATTTGGTACTTCCCACAGCACCAAGTTAGTAAAGTCTATATATATATTACTAGACCTAATAATTCTTCACCTGGCCCATACTCAGATTCGAACGGCCAGAGACCATCCGAATGGGTTTGAGAAGATAGCACCGATTTAACTGTACAATTAGCTAATAACTTGTGAAGCTCCATGTATCTTTAGTTGCATCAGTGGTTCTAGGTTCAAACTTGAGTGTTAGGTTAGATCATTCATTATGCTCGCCTTTGTGGCTTTTAGTGTACCTTATTGACTCGAACTAAAGGTAGGGTACTACATAACTTAGCTGTTTCACCAAACTTTTAACAGTATGAGTAGCGAATCCAGCAGCTCTTTCTAGGCAAAGCACGAAGGACCGCCTTCGAAAGGCAATGCCAGTACTCAACGCGAAGCTTTTATAACAAAGTTAAACAGTTGTGATCCGTTTGTGTGATTTTTGTTTGGTTTAAGCAACATAGTCAGCATGAGTTTCAATCAAGGCTCATTGGTGAACCAAGTTACTAACCATCCCGGTTTGCTGCATGCCACAAGGAAGATTTCATCTGCCGAAGGGCTAAGTCACCGCCGTATTTTTACCATTTTGAAAAGCATGTTTTTCAAATACCATCCGAACGAACCCCAGAGCTTTTTTTCCTAAGTACAACGAAACCCTACTGATAGAACTGAACTCCGGAAGGTACCATTAATCACGGTCTTAAGGTTTTGTAATCATTACAGTGATCCCTTTAAGCTGCATTAGCTCTAGATCAAAGTAAGCCTGTTCGATAGTAGAGGGTAACATTACCCTAGACAGGTATCTTTACTTTTTCGTTGTAATCCATCTTGGGATGGCGACCTGTTGCCTTACCCAGATCGAAAACATTGGAAAGCTTTCAGGAATGAGTGACGGTAGACCCGAATTTTATATATAGGGCCGATCTTTTTCGGCCGCTTTTACGATAACGAACCTCGAAACAGACAGAAACCTTTCCGTCCGTTAAAATGTGTACACAACTTGATGAAGAATCCCAAGGTTTGATCCAACGGTCAGAGCCAAGACAAATCACTCGATTTCCCTTGCCTTTCTTCGGTAAAGTTTAAGCCATGATCTTTAACACATTTTTAATTACAGAATTATTAAAGTTGGAAGGTATTTTTGTTCTACTAACAATGAAACTACGACGTAGTGGCTATAGGCTAAAGCGTAATACTATTTATTTAGGTTAGAACTCGTTACTGTGTAGTTCAGCGGCGTTTCAGAGGACCTTAAAAATAGCCGTAGTATATGATATTATAACACATGCTCGAAAGTTAACAGCGAAAGCATCATTGTTTAAACTTTTATAATAAATTCTTCTTTCTTAACTGGATGGTTTAACTAAAAAAAAATGCATGAAGAAGTTCGCTATTTTTTGTAATCCCCCTAACTTCATTTTGAAGGATTTATATCCCTAACAATGAAACTTTAAATTTCTTTAAATATAACTCTAAAGGACAAAAATTAATGACCTTCCTCAGTGGGTAAATGGTTAGTACTTCAGGGGTTTAGAAGGTTTTTTCATTACAATTTTTTTTAATTCTCTACTTTTCTTAAAAAATTTTTTTGAAAACACCAAGGAAAAATATTTTCTACGTGGTATCTAGATCTCTACCACATAGGAACCCTGGTTATATCGTTAACTATTATTCCATATGGTTATTACCAATACTATTATAATTAATGGTTGCATGTCGATTCATTGTTACTACATTTTATCTACCATCAATTTTTTGCAAATTTTAATAGCTGTTAGCTCTAATATTAAATGCCTGGATGTCGCTAGGTTAAAAAATTAAAGAGTAAAATAGGGTATTTTATTTAAATAATAACGCTGTTTCCATTTTTTTAAAATGCTTTGACCCCAAATGATATGAACTTATTCCATTCTGCCTTTTTGGTTCTACTTTCCTTATTAGTTCTGTACAAAAAGCTGTAAAGCTAGCACTTAGCGTATACGCTGGTCGTCGCTAATTAATAAATATTTCATAAAAGTTCACAGAAGGATTCTTAGAGTGAACACATTTTATTTTCTTGTGAAATAGTACTTGACCTTCTTTATCCGCTACAATTTTTTCTGGATCTGCACGTTAAGGGTATATGTGGTTTATAACTATAATAATCTAATCAAAAATGAAATACGATGTTATACAGTAACTTGTATATTAACATTAATTATTGCAGGTGCAGTAATGGTAATAAGTAAGAAGCATCAGTCACTTCATCATATGTAACCAGCCCAAATTCTAGTTATCGTAAGGTTTATTGTTGAAAGTGTAATTAAAAAGTTGCTGTGAAACGGTTTTAGCCGTGCACCATTGTAATGGGAAAGGTCAACTTTTTTGCCTGGAGGATGCTGCCTCTTTCAAATTTATAATGATTTTATGAGATATAGTTTCTTTAGAAAGCCCTTTAATCCATTGTTAAAATTAAATTTTGCAACAGGTGCTTAAAAACTCATTAATGACAATACAATTGTTGCAGGGAGACCTTTTATTTCGGGTCGTCCGATAGGTTGACGATACACTGATTTTAATACATTCTCTAAGTCGCCCGTTACAAATTCTGGCAGATGCTGCCCTGCTCAACCCACTTCCTAAGTACATGAATCTTTTTTTCGCTCAAAAGCCTAATTTTACTTCGTGGCTAGGTCGGACAGGTGACCAGGTTTATATTTACTACTACACGATATATGCAACCTTTCTACAGGCCACACACCGCCTGCCTGGGTTTACGGCCTCGTTGATTATAGAGTATTACCGAATGTAATATGTGCTGTTTTTTGTGTTAATGATGTTTGGCACCGCTACCATGTTATAAAACCCGCTAATAACAGTTTTCAAATGCAGTTTTACCGACCTTAATGTAAAGGTAGTTATGCCGCCTTCTAACAGGCCATTTAATTATTATAAGATATCTTGCTCCGCCAAAAACTGGTCTCCAATTATAAAGGGGAAAGAAAGCAATTATTATGTTAGGGGGCCCCATTAATTATGACACAAAGGCGCAAAGTTGCCAATAATTAAGAAAAGGAGGGGGAGGTTATATAACCGGCCAAACCCGTGTACATCGAAGGGCAGGCCTTTTTGCTGGAGGCTACCCTGGCGACACTTTCATGTAAGAATGAGCTCCGACCAGGGCTTGGCAAGTGCGCATAACTCTAGTTTTCACGCGGAAGGTTTAAAGTGAAAAAAACGATAATATAATATAGTATTGTGTTTTTGCCACCTTGCTTTAATATAATTTTTCTAAAAGCAAGTACTATAAACTTTTATTAAAACTATATTTTTGCAATTATAAAAGCACATTAAATAATAGTTGCTAGGTATATTTATTGATGTTTATTCGTATTTATCTGGTTACAACTACTCTACTGAGGTTAATTTATTCTTTTTCCTATCTAAATTCAGGTTTTTATCAACAAAAGTTTACTGAGCTCTTTTCTCAATATAGACTTCAAGAAAAAAAAATTAAAGAGTTAGAAAATCTTGTAAAAGAAATAGAGAAGGATCATGAGCGAGAACTTCAATCCTTAGTTAATCAATTTAAAAATAAACCTAATTATTTTGGCACATCCAATAGTACTAATTATCAAGCTGAGACAACTATTCAGCCTACTTGCTCTATAAACTTACAGGAAGGAGATTTTAATTGTCAGAGTACTCGAAATAATTCTGTGGCCTGCATAAAAGGGCTTGAAGAAGAATGTTCTTTGTCACAGGAATCTCAAAGCCTTCAAAACGAAATTAAGGCCTTACGGGAAACAATAAAAAAAAAGGATACACAATTTAACACCTTAAAAACCCATTTTATTGAGTCTGAAAATGAGTATGACAGTGTGTTACTGGTATTCCTATATCTGTTTTCTTTTATTAAGTATAATTACCTGTTTTTAAAAGAACTACCAAAAGACAATCCACGAATTAAAAATTAAATTAACTTCACTTGAACAAGAGTTGCAAAGAAACGAAAAAGACTTCAAGTTAAAAGTACTTGAGGTGCCCCTATACAAACTTCTTCTTTTATTTTACCCGAAAAAAGTATGTGTAGAGAGAGCAAATGGTACACTCTCTAGAAAAAGAAGCAGTCAGGCGAGAAAGTGAGTATCAATTCCTTAAAAGAGAATTGGAGACCCTCCAGCGTGAGTATCAATCTCAAAGCGAAGCTCTTGGAAACTTGCAGCTGGTTTTGCAGGCTCTTCAGAAAGGTTATGCTCTTATAAATAAGCGAAAAAGGGAAATGAATATGTGTTAGAACAAGAGGAAGTTGTGGCCATCGCAGTTATGACTTCAGAGAAGGAAAATTCCTTTTTAAAAAATGAGATTATACAGCTAAAAAAAGAAAATTTTGAATTAGAGGTGTTGTCACAAGTTTATCTTACGTTGTAAAGTGACCATGTTTATATTTGCTGCACAGGAAAAGCTTAGCAGTGTAAAATTGAAAGAAAACCGTGTTGATCGAGCACTTATAGAAGAATCTGTCCATCTTGAAACTATACGACTGTTAAAAGAAAAATGTGAGTTTCCAGTTCTAAAACAAAATTTTATTTTATTTATATTTGTTTAATGAAGGATTTGATTATAACTAGTAAAGTTTCTTACTTTCGAGCTTATGAAGGCCCACGGCTACGGTGAAATGGTTTCAATGCCTGAAAATAGTTCTATAGAAAAGTATTGCTCTTATGGCTTTTATATACTTAGTTAATGTTTATTAAACTTTTCAGAGTTTTATTGAAAAATATGCTTCTGACTTATTTGACTTCTTCAAAGAAACGTGAAACTTTAGAGTTGCTGTCCAAGTTGTTAGAATTTGACGAAGAAGACCGAAGAAAAGTCTTTACTTTTTTAATATTTTGTACTTAGAGGAATATTCTTTAGAACTCGTTTAACTCTGAGAAGTGTAGACTCGCTTTTTGGTTAGATTTTATATATTTGGTACTGCGTTTGATTAGGTTGGTTTATGCGTTGGTGGAGGTGAGTCTGCGGAGTCCCGTTCCTATGGGCCCCCACTTTGTTCTAAAGCCTTCAATTCTCGTAACCTGCAAGCCACTACCAGGAGAGAGGCAAGGAAGTACTGCACTTTTTACTAGTTGAATTGAAATTAAGCCACACCTGCGTAGGGATTATTCGACGCTTTCATAGACTTTCTTTTGGAAACTGGAAACAGAGGCAGATAGAATATTCGTCTTATAGGGCTTTAAAAAAAAACAGTGCGCTGGAGTGTAGTTCCTGCGCCTTCGTATAAACTAAAATAAGCGGCTGAGAGGTTCTTAATTCTTTCTAGTCAGTTGTTTTTTTAAGATTCTCAACTTCTACCTTAATTTCTATGTGGAATAGTGTTACCTTGAAACTTTTTGCGCTTTTTTCTTTTAGTTCTAGAGTTTGAGAATTGCTCTCAACTATCAGTTCCTTAGATTTACACTGATTATCTAACTCATTAACTATTGCAAAATTTAGGAACCGCCTCTTTATGTAGTGTATACTAGTAAATTATACTGTGCCTAACACGAAGGTATAGGACTCCTGACTATACTAATATTAGAATAAAAGAAGCCGAACGAGAATTTAGATAGTAAGAAGTATCATTAAGTCAGTACCAAAGCATACTATCTAGTGCTTGAGTAATTGCTGCCAAGCCAGCTAATAGTATTCATATCTAGCCTTTGCCTTGGATCAATCCTGGCAATTCGCTGGCGTTCCTTATCTTTTTGTTTCTGAGACCACGGCTTACAAGAGTTTTCGTAAATAAAAAAAGTCTCACTAAATAGTATTAAATGAAAGAAACTCGTATTAAGTTATGAGGAGGGCCGCTAATTATATTTAACAAGTTTTTAAAAAGTGTACTAAGAGCCACCTATTATTTTATTGACAAGTCGATAGTGAATAAGAAAATCTGTGCTATCGTAATTACTTTTTTTTTTTGTTTTTTTTCTTTGGAGCAGGCACCATGCGCAAATATGCTAACATGTATAAAAAATAATATTAATTATAAAAAAGTAAATAAAATTCTGAGAAGCTAAACTGAGCAAATACATAATATTAGTAAAACATATTTAGTTAAGTAGAACTTCTATATAAAAAGGTAAAAAAATAGTCAATTTGAAATATATAGCAAGTAATAAGCAAATAAAGAGCTTCAGTTGCATACAATACCGCCAAAACAAAAATTTAAATTCGTTAACTACAAAGCTATTTTTATATTTTTTAGGAAATAAAAAGGTACTTAGTTCGATTAAAGTAAGCGAGTTCAACCAGAAGTACGACACTGCCGCTTTATAAAAGTGCGTTAAAGGTTAGGTTAACAAAAACATAGTGGTTAGCTGTAAAAAAAATTTAAAAATTGCAAAAATAAACTTTCTTTATATTATGTCCCATCATGTCCTCCTAGCAACAACATCTAAATACTTTTTTAAAAAACATAAACAACTTAATTGTTCAACTTTAAGAGTAAAAGTCTTAAAAAAACTACTTTATAAACTCGTAAATTCGAAGTGGATCAAACAATTTAGCTCACCTCCTTAACAAGTTTATGAAGACGATTTTTAAAACTTCTACAAACAAAACCAATACTTTTAGTAAAGAACATTCAGTTATAATTAAACAATTTAACTAGACATTAAATTAACTTGTTAAACAAAGTTATTGCTACTGTTTTAAATCTGAACTCTAGCCTTACTACAGGGCGCCTGCTTCGGGCAAATTATAAACGTGTGCACAACAAAAAAGAGTTAAAATAATATCTTTAAAGTCAAACTTTTTAAAACTACCGCTTAATAATTCTACTTTACCACGACAATAAAGTTACAAAAAATATTGAAAATTCCCATTCTTGTAGAATAGCAGTTTTTAGATCTCTGCGCTGCTCAATGGGGACCCGTCATAGATGTGAGGAGGCTAAAACAATGGTGCTACCACTTAAGCGACCAAATTTTACTAATTGTGTCACTCCAATTCCGTTTCGCACCAAGAGTTAATAAACGAAATTTCGCAAGCACAAGCACGTACTAAATTTATTAATTACTACACAGTAAAAATTGTAACAAAGATATTTTTTGGGTAAATATGTTTACGAAGCAGTAACAGTTATAATAAAGCAATTATGAACTTTACACCTTTTCCCAAAATAATATCGAAATCGAAAAGTAAAACTTAAATTGTAGCAAACTTAAAAACACATGCCTTTGCCCTTCTGAACTTTTTTCGATTGTGGGGGGGCCTTCAATTCGGTTGAACCATTTAAACTTTTTTCTTTCCTACTACTATTATTATCCGATGGCTTTTTGGCGCGCAGTCTACTAATATCCCTGCCCACGAGACAATAGAGATCCCGACGTCTGATCACGTGCTTATGAAGTAGCGTCCCATTTTCATTTTTAAGCTGCACGCGGACTCTTCCGAAGTTGTCCCAGTCACGCGGGTGCCTGTAATTAAAAATTTTTAAAAAAAAATTTATTATATGAAAATTCAAACTTCTGTAAAAAAAATTATTGCATTTTAAAAATATATACTTAAGAAAATAAATTTACGCGAAATGGTAAAGTGAATATGTTTTATAAAATAAATTCACGTGAAAAGGTAAAAGAACTTCGGTAAGTTGCCTGCAATAACACTTTTTTCTATTACGTTAAGGTATAACGGAAAAAATGATAACTAAATTAAAAAAAATATTTTCATTTCTTCAAAATATAAATGTTGCTAAAAAAAAAAACTTTTAACTTTTTATTTATTATTCAGTAAAAACTAAGTTAGTAAATTAAAAAAAAATTGTTAAAAAGCAAAGGTTTTAAAAGAAAATATATAAAAAAGTAATTTTCTTATGAAAAAAAGAAATCCATTTGAAAATTTCCTAACAATAATAAATATGAATTTAATACAAAAGTTACTTTAAAAAAAACATAAAAACTATAATTTTTAAAAAAATAAAATTTTAAAATAATTAAATACGTTGACAAGTTATACATAAAAAGTAAACTTTTATTAAAAAATATATCAAAGGAATAACCAAACTATATTAAATTTAATAAATAATACAAGCACAAGCGTAGGAAACAGGATGGCTTGCGAGATAAACATAGTTACTATGTAACCTTTTGTTAGGCTCCAGGGCACAAGCAAACTGATGTTTTTGAAGTACATCATATATTTCCTGAACAGTCGGATTTTCACAACAATTGATCTTCGAAACTTTCCTCCCTAAAAATTAGACAAAGTTAAATTCTCTGAAATTACCAGGTGCAAACTGCATAAAGTATAAGATGTAATAAATATTTAAAAATTTTGTTATAAGAAATTGAGTTTAGAAGGAAAAGTTGAAATATTTTCTTAGTTTTAAAGAAATCAACTTAAAATTTGATAAGATCGCCAAATTAAATAATCATAACCTTATTAAAGCTGATAAACTAAAAGAATTCTACAAAAAGAAAAAGAAGCCAGCAGTAGAAATATAATATAATATTGCCAAGTAATAATTAAGTCTTTAAAAAACGGTTTCCGCTTAAATAAAATTAAAAAATAAGCAAAAGATATCAGTACAACTAATTATGTCAAAATATCTAAGCAACTAAGAAACATAAAATAATAACATACTCTAGCTTCCAGATCTTAAAATAACAATTCTTTAGATTTGGAAATTAACTATAAATCTTAGCTATGCGAAAAAAGAAAGTCTGCTTAAGATCTTTAATAAAGTTCTTTAGATAATTATTAATGAGTATAACAAAATAACAAAAATACTGTTTTTAAATTTTTCGATAAGTAGCTAACCATCACGGAATGTTTTTTTATTGTTAATATAAGTAGGATAAAAAACGACCCAATTTTCTTGCGCGCTGTAATCTAAAAAAATTAGTTTATTAAATAATAAAAGGCAAGACTCTAAGTAATAGTAGGAGAATAATCAAATACAGGCAATATACCCTTTGCGGAAATTACCATTTCAGTGTGTTAGTTATAACAAAATTAAAAACGTATTAATTCAGTAGTTTGAACCAAAGACCAATCCACGTAACCAAGAAAACCTCGGACCAAACTTTCACCAAAGTTTAAGCTAAATGGTGAGCGTTGTTACTTTAACTACCATCATTCCATTAAGTGCTAAAGTGATACTTAAAAAATGTTAGAGTACATATTATTAACTTTAATAGTAAAATCATGCAATCTTAGCTATTACTTTCAAAAGTTTTAAATAATTATATAACCTCAATAAATACGTTTTGCTTGGATTCCCTTAATCCCTTAAATATGCTTTGTGAGCTACGAGTATAACATAGTAGCTAAATTAATTCCTCACTTTTCTATGAAAAGTCAACAAGCAGGGCTTCTAAAGTGGATTACACTAGATACCTTTAATAATATATCACCTGTTTAACTTTTTTTATATTTTATTAAAAAGTTCTCTATCTTTATTTATTCACAAATGAGTTTGCTGCAATGAAACCAAAAGAATTTTTGTTTATTAACTAACTTTAACTACAAAACCTTGGTAAAGACAGATGTCCAAATTTCATCATAACTAAATATTCTAGGAAGATCAAATTACTGTTAAAGTAAAACTTCCATAACTTTTTAACTTAATAATGACGTGAGGTTCAACTCGGATCTGAAAAGTTATTTATGAATAGTTTAACTAACTAAATTATGACCTATATATTTTTTTCAGTTCACATATGGACTGTTCAATTTGAGAAATGCCAAAAAACAAATAAGCTGCTATTAAACTTCAGCTCTTACTAAGTTTAGTGTTTCCAACCTTCTCATGCCTACGAATAACATGAAAATTTTAAAAAGATGAAGTTTAATACCGTCGCTAACACTCATTTACAAATTCAAGCATCCGCGCAGAATATATGAATTCTGTGTCTTTTTTTAAGTTTATTCTTTTGGCAACACTTTGATTTATAAACTAAAAACACCTTAAAAGGATATAATGTGCACCTTTGAATGTTACTAGCTTTAAAGGGCATAGCGAGGTAATCAAAAGATCAAGAGCAATTTGACGTTACGCTAATATAATGCTAATGCTCATGCACTCTATTATTAACAACCATTCACAAAGGAGCTTGTTTATGCCAGGTGAGAAACTTGCTATAAACTCATTTTGCATGGCAATGTAAGTCCTCGTCCCTGCCAAATTAGGTAATTATTATATTTATGAGAAAAATCCCACTTTGTTTTGTTCTTGAGTGTTCATTTTTTTGGTTATCATTTTGTTCTTATAATTAAGTTTGCTAGTAATCGTTCTAGTCATGTTTTCTGTTTATTTGTTATTTTAAGTTGAGTTTTCCTTTTTTATAATTATTATTAAGTACTGAGTTTTATTACACTTAATTCAGTTAGTTTTGCGTTTTTTATCTTCTTAGAACGTTACAATCTTTACTTGGCTTATAACAGTGATGCTTCAAGGTTTTTGCATAATAGATAATAGTGCGGATAATGATCAAGTTTCTTTTAATATGATAACAACCGTGACTTCTTTTCAATCTCACCTCAGGTCTTTACAGACAGCTAAATAGCAGGAAAAAAGTAGGCGGTTGTAGTAGATCGAGGACGCATCCGAGGTCAAAAGCTTTAATAATTATTGCTGATGGTTTTGGTTTTTTTTAGCATTCAAAGGCATGCTTTCATATGTGTTTAGGGTAAAGTTAAATTTTCCGCTTATCGAATATAGAGCTTTAAGCTTAGTATTAATGGGTAGTGTCAACTTTTTATTTTACTTAAAAACATACTTAATCTGTAGTCAAAGGCTCTAAATGGTTGTGGATATTCTAAACTAAAAATTATTGTAGTGATTGACAGATTATTTAATTTTTAGTTAAACTGGTTAAGAAGTATTTATTATCACAAGAATTAAGTAGTGTAGTACTTCTGCTTATGACTTCGCCTCTGAGGAAATAAGCTTTTCTTTTTTAAATATGAAATTTTTAATGCGAGTAATTAACTATTGGTTTTCTAAGAACACTGCCATACAAATTTAAAGTAGGGCTTGGAACTTCTTACATCTATTTTTAATTTATATGCTTAAAATAAACGTTTTTTTGGAATAGTAAGAATTTAGTTTAGTTAATATGTTTACCCTTCTTTAGACTGTTACTTTGTAACACATTATTAAAAAATAGCCCAGTTTGTGGTTTCAGATGAGCTAATTGTGAAAAAAACGTGATAAGTCGGAAGGCAATTAATTATATTACAATACTAACTTTTAATAAATCCTCCAATATTTAATGTTTGCCTCGAGCGATAATTTTGGATTAAAATTTTCCGCCACACTATTGATGTTTGCTCTGCTTCGTCATGTCCTTACGTTAATTAGTGTATGATCTCCGATATATTTTTAAATCAATGAACTTAGAAAATATTTTAATAAATACAGCTGTCCTGTCTTTTTTTTTTCGTGTAAATAATTATTCTGGCATGTGCAATTATTTATTATAAAGCTGTAGGAGGCTTAAAAAGAATTTGCTAACGAAAATAACCTTAATGTTTTCTCTAAATTAGTTTCTGAATTTGTTTATCAGGCCACCTGCATTCCAAAAAAGAAATTTAAAAGATAATTCAATTTTTATAATGACGTCGATGTCTTAAAAATAAATAATTTTTCTGTCGTCAAAATATAATTTGTGGTCATCAAAGTAGATTGTGTCTAAGTTGATGCCTTGCTCATGAGGTGCAATCGGTTTCATCCTTATTTATAAAAGAGGACAGTCTTTAGAAAAGTAGTCATTTTACACATGTTACGCATCAAATCAGTACTTACAGTCCATTTACGTATGGTCATAAAGTTGGCATCTAGATCGTTAAATAAATATCTTAACGTACCTAATTATAACCTATAACATCCTGTAAACAAATGAAATGTTATTAGTAAACAGCCTCCCGTAACTACTTTAACAAGCTTTGTTTATTCTGTGGACTTAAACTTTTATCTATTTATCATGACTTAAGAAGGTGCTCGGTATCCTTGCGTTGCAAGCCTTTTTATCTCGACATTAATAATTATTTATGAAAAGCAGGTCACGTTACTCTATAGGCGTACAAAAAGGTTGAAGTTTGCAATTATTTATGCATATATATAAAAAAAAAATAGACAAAAAAGTGTTTAATTGGGCTTGGCACATACTAAATGGACGTCAAATTTTGGTCTTGTGACAGTTTTCATACTACATATCATATAAGAACAAATCACAATATTTAATATTTCAAATATTTTATTACAGCTCACAATTTAGTGTAAACCCCACGTTTCGGAGAGGTCCCCACACCAACCACCTCAAATCGAGTTGTCTTTAAAAACTTCCTCACAAACGAACAATGTAACATTGATCCATGTTTCAGTTCATAAAGATGGATCCATTATGAATATATGTACAGTTAAATGTTGGTCTGTTTTTGTATGATACTGTATTAGGCGCACTGACATCACGCCAATAGGTGAACGCCTACCTTAAAGGGGAATAAAATTATTTATCAGGGTATCAAATCCAATGATACGCGTCGAGGCTGTAGCGGTGGTGCGCCTACGAAGGGCTTGAACAAAAGTTTTTTTACTCTGCTTGGTGATGCGGTAAAATTGTCTCTAGCTATTTGTAGGAAACGATGGCTACTCCTCTAATAAAAAATGCTTTAAGTTGCCGATACCCCAAGGCCTCGTTATAGCGTGCCTTTTTCCGTAAATTAAGCGGCAGAGGTCAGTTACAGAAAGGTGTTTTGTTGTACTTACAGTTCTGTCATAGTCGAACGACGCGTCAAATGAACAAGTCTCTGTCTTACACTAATCACGAATATAACGCAAAAACATATATTTACGAAGAAGCGGGTAGAGCGCTTGCGTTGCTACCCTAAACTTCGACACAACGTGTGGGTCGTGTTTGTAACGACAGTTTGCTATCCATGGTGGTCCGCAAGTATTTTTTTTAAGGGCTCCAAGACGGTCTCCTTGTTTTTAACAAGGAGACAGAAAAAGTGCATTGTGTCTCTTTAAAATAAAGTGCGCTGCGAATGTATGTAGATTGTTAGTAGCAAGGGTCTCATGTCATAGTGCGACTTCCTTTTCAAAGCATCTTTATTGTTTTACTACTTCTGCGGTTATAAGGTTGCCTTTTAGGTTTTCGACAGAGGCTTATAGTTATTCTATTAACTCAGTGTTGTATTTTCTGCTTAAAAAAACGTTTTACTTCGGAGCACTTTTGAATGACTTAATGTATGCAGTCCACAAACCACAGCTATAAACGGCAAAAATATAATATACTACCACCCAAATTAAATGTCAGCATTTACTGAAAAAATTAGTTTAAATATTGCAAGTTGCAACTCTTATTCATTTTTCACTGTGCAATAAGAAAAAGATAATATTTTCAAGTGGAATAAAAGGCGGGATGCGTAACCTTGATTCCCATAAGTTGGCATTATATTACTTTTAAATGAGTTTAACTTAGCTACAAAATATCTCTTACCGCACAAATTATTATTATTGCAGCCTTTAATTAAAGGATTATGATTGAAAAAGATTATGAGTTTGTGGCCGTTAAAATCTAGTGTACATTGAATAATAAATTAAGAAAGATATAACTAAGTCATGAGATATTAAAAAAAAATATAGTTACATAAAAACTACTCATAATTTTTTAATAATTACTTTGCCGAGTCAATGTGTTTTTATGAATAGTCCATTTTAAGAAAAAATGTTATAGTTAAATAGTTAAGGTATAACTTTTTATAACGAGTTCCAGAGCCTTGAAAAAGGAAAATTGGATAAACTATTTGTAACTGCCTCATATTAAATTATTTTTGCCGAGTCATTTTGAAAAGTGTAATAGTAGAAGAGGTCAAGTTTATCTTTCGATAACACCAGAATCGGGTGATACTTTTTTATTGTATCTAGTTTTTATTCAAATTAGGAAGTTAAGGCACTTGGCTTGGCTCCGAACGTAGTAGGTAAAAAACTTAACTTATTTTGATGGGTTAGCGCGTAAATTATATTATGATGACTAGCTGCCAA